CCTGATTTAGATCTGAACTATAACCTAAACCCTATCCTCACGGGTGTCATTTCCTTTCCGCTTCCTTCCTATTTTTGTTCATACATTAACCACCAATTCCTCCTTGCTGTACTCGTCTGTGTTTTTAAAGTTCAGAGTCTCTGTGCAGCAGCTGTGCATGCAATTTTAAAACAGAAACCTCGTTTTTATGACTCTTAAAGACACCAATATTTTAGGCCTGGAGCAAATTTTCAGTTGGGACATAAATGAACTGTGAAAGTAAATAGCTTATAAAGTAGCCTTAAATGCCTTACATGTAGCCTTAAATAGCTTATAATGTAGCTTTACATTGCACTGTCTGATGCACAGAGGGTGGCATTCTCCCCAAGCACATGGGCAGCACAACGGCTATATATCACATGAAAGCTCATTTTAAGAAATGTGTAAGCTTTGTGCTGGTGGTTTTGTGTTGGCGGCAAATTTAATCCAGACTTTTATATATAATTCTCCTGTAAATCTTAACCTTTTTGTGTTATACTCCATGTTGTCGTACTCTGAAACTTTCTCCGTGCGCTGAGGACAGAATTTTCTCCTTGACAATTTAGGGTTAAATGCAAAAACTCCTATTTAACCACTCAACTGGAGCTTTTTCATTGGAGTATTGTGCACCTGTCCTTATGGGTGATTTCAGGTTGGGGTGTTACAGGAGTCCAGCACCTCTGTAAATGAAATCCCTTATTTTTAGTGCTTGAATAAGAATGACCTGTGCCCATGTTCAGTCGCAAGCTTGAAAATGTTGGATTGTATGTCTGATGGAGAAGAGCTGCTGCTTTGCCTTTGGTCTGAAGTAAGTCAGCACTTGGAAGGATCGAGCTCACGTCTAGGGAAGCGGAGAGCTCAGATCCCTTTGCTCATAGATAATTCATCAAACTGTTTTAATTGTGACCTCTCCCATTGTTGGAATTTAGTAATGGAAGGCTTGTAGCCTGTTTTCCTCCCCACAGCTTAGAGCCACTACAAGGTCTTGGTGCTCTGGAGGACTTAAGCATCTCATAGCTCGGGCCTTGGGCTGTGGGGTGAACTGACGAGGAGTCTGAGTTCAGGTCATTTGTCTTGTATGAGCTGCTCCTGTGACTCCTGTGGAAGCAGGGTCCCCTCTCTTCCAGCTGACTCTGTGACACTTGCACTGCATTAGAAACAAATGCATGCACAGGAGGAGAGAGCTTGCTGGAGAGGCAGTTCTGGGGGTTGTCACATCCTGGCATCCGCAGTCACTTTCCTGCATCGTCCTGCCTCAGCTCATGAGCTCACTGCCTAAGCCAGTTACTTCTGCAGAAACAATGGCCCTGATTGCAGCAAGGGAAAATAACCCTGCGCTGTAATCGGTCTGCGCACAACCGGCTGGAATCCCATTGCATGCTGTTACAGAGTTAATTGCATTTCTTTCCTTGAGTTATGCTTAATTGTTACAAGAGATAAGTAATATATTTTTCCCTACCAGAATGTAGGTGCTAATCACCTGAGAAGCTTGAATCTGTGTGCGCTTCTTATGGTCTCTGTTACTATTGGCACTCCCTGGCCATTTAGACCATGGAGGTCCTCGGATGCTTTTCAGAATGTGTTTCCACCTCCTCCTTTTTTTTTCTATCTCCTCTTAATATCTCACGTTAAGAGCTCTTGGGTCTTGCTTGATATTACCATATCCCCATCATCTGCTTGGTCATCCATGAAGCTGAATGCTGTAGGAACTCCCTTCCCAAATAGGGGTGATCTGCATTTGTGCATCAAGTGCTAACTGTGATGCTGGTGGGGGGTTGTCCCAGCTGTAGGGGAAAAGTTCCTGTCCTCAGTTATGGCGACGTGCGCATTGCTGCTGCTTTGGAAAGATCCTGCTCCTCTTGTGGAGTCTGAATTTTGTCTATGTAAGGCGTGCAGGATCAAAACCACTACCTAGGAGCTGTGTTCATGTTTGTTCCTTATCTTGTGAGCGGTTGGGATTTTTCCCCCAAGAATACCTGGAATTTTGATACTTTTATTGGTTTTTAATATCTGTTTTCATGGTGAAGACTACGGTATTTCCAACAGGCCTGTGACTTGGTTGTAGTTCTGCATAAACCTTCATGAACGTTCATTTACAATAAAGAATCTCTGAAAATAAGTCTCTTTTTCCCCGTTATTATCCGCTGTTTTCTTGTAATAGGCAAGGTGTCTTAGGGACATTTTGCATCAATGATTGGGGTCTACAGAAAAAGCTTCAGTTATGTCTGGGAAGCTGAGGAGTTTGTGGAAATCATTCACGGAGGTAAAATTCAAATATCTAAAGGAGATCAGGCTGGTCTGGCCCTGGAAAATCAGCTAACGGTAAGGTTTGGGAAAGACTTTTTAACACTGGTCTTGAATCATTGAGTTAGCCTCCCCACTCCTAAATCTATGTTGTTAATTTAAAAAATCATGATATTTTAAAAAAAATAATCAATTTTGGGTGCTTTTTAATTGCCTTTTAAGTTTCAGGATTTATATTTGCCAGCTTTTCTCTGGGAACAGCTTGCTCCAGCTTCCACCTTTCCCTCTCCTATCCACCCACCTCCACTCCCTCGCTTCCCACCTCCTCCCTGCCCTTCCAGCGCTAGAGGCAGAGCTGTGGGTTAAGGAAACCTCTTGACATTGTGGTGCTGTATTGTAGGATACAGGTTTTCATCTAGATGTTTATGGTGCCTGACTTATTCCCTGCTGTGGTGCAATGCTGCAGATAGCAGAGCGTGCTCTCCTTCAGACGGACGTTAGATGCCAATGGATAAGGTAGCTGTTTTTCAGCACAAACGTATCTTCTGCTGTTCTGTGAAGCCACATGAAAAATGAGAGCTTGAGGGGAGGGCCTGTGTTTTGACATGAGCTGCATTGCTGTGCCAGAGAAGCAGCAAATATTGATTTGAGGTCAGTAACCCTGTCGGTGTCAGTAGGTTGCCTTCAGATTGCCCAAGCATGCAGCACAAAATAAGCCAATATGCAGCACAGTCTGACCAAAGCAAAAGCAGGAGCTGGACTGCTGCTTTTTGTCTTGGATTCAGGTATTTAGAAAAAAATCTCATTCAAAATATTTTTTTCCTGATTTTACATTTGACCCTTTGCTGCTGAGTTAAAATACGAACCTCTTGGGTTGTCTTGTCCCTAGTTTGCTGTGTTATTTGCATGTCTTAAGTGCCTCCTTGCTCGCAAGCCTCTTTACCAGGATGTTTTCTCAGGAGACAGGAACCCGAGAAGAGAAGGCTACTTCTGCCTGTAGGAAGCTCTATTTAAACATCACTGCTCTCCTTGGAAATGTTGTTTCTGGTCTTATTAGGAGATAGAAATGCGAGACAGACAAGATCGTGTTCATCTCCCATGTAATACTCTGGGAATCCAACCTTGGGTCAAGAAGAGAATGCAAATGTGGCACTTAGTTCAATTTACAGACGCGTGTAAGCTGGTTCGGTGTCACCTAGGGACGGTCCCTCTGCTATGCCTCTCTCGGAAAGATCACAACCCTCATGACACCTGTGAAAGTGTGCGCAAGCTGGCAGGGTTCCTGTCGTGCGAGATGACCAGGACTGAACTCGGGTCCCTGTTAGAAATAGAAACGCTCTACTTGGAAAACCTAAAATTCCAGCGCTGAGGAGGCAGAAAGTCCAGCTGACCCCATCAAGAAAGACCTCAGTAAACAACCTGTGCTGCTCTTTCGTTTGGTTTTTGTCGTTTCTGTTTGATATTTGTTTCCACGCGGATTTAGTGCCAGCGAGAGCTGTTGGATAACCTGTGCGATCCACAGGAGCGGTAGAGGCTGCTGGAGATCAGACTCCCTCCACACGGCCCCACTGGTGTCCCAGCCCTTCCCTGCAAGGACCATTGCTAGGGGACAGGGGACAGCCCCATCTCTCTGGCTCCATCAGCCTTTGACCGCTCAGCCGAAGTGGATACACTGATAAAGGGAGACAAGTAGTGCCAATTCTGTGGGCGGTTTTTATGCTGGTTCACCTGTTTTCTAGAAAGAGTGCCATCCATGATCCTCTCTCCATTCTCATAGTCACCACTGACATGGTTCCAGTATGGAGCCAGGTGGCTCAGAATTAAATCTTTGGTCTGTGCCTTGGTGGGATTTGTGCGCTCTCACCCTTTAAGTGGCATGTAAAGGAGTGAGAAGTCACTTGAGCGTGTGTTTTAACAGCTTCCCCGGGGCAGCTGCAGCAAAGAGCATCAGGTAAACCCAGAAGAAGTCTCTGCTGCAGTAGTCTGATATTGCACTTGGACAAGTTAAATTCCTGGAGAACCCCACATTGGTTCAATAAACCATTTCTGTGCAGAAAACAGGATTCAGGGGTATAAGGACCACTAGACAATTCCTGTATACTCCTAAGGTGCTAGGACTGGTGAGGTAAGAACATTCAAATACACCCAAAGTGAAACCAGTCTGAAGGGGAAGAAGCAAAGGCTCAGAAAAGCCAAATCCCAAAGATGCAGGAACCATCGAAATTCCCGTTGGTATCAAGGAGCATTTACCTGGACCTGAGCCAGGACTTCAGGATTTGACCCAGAAGATGGACATGCGGCATTTGACCATGTGGTGTGACCAGGCTTATGGGTGGTAGGCCACTGCGTTCCCTTAGAGATCACAAGGAACTGTGTGTGTTCAAAATGCCCACCAAAAATGGATCGAAAAGCCTCCAGTCGTATATACCACTGTTGTTGGGCTGTCATGGCAATGATCCCTTTCAGGCACGGTGGAGTGGCCCACCATGGTTTACCAGGTACCCGTGGGCTTAGCTTGCCCACCGGTCTTCTTTTGCTCTTGGAACAAACAATAACCTATTCATCCAAGTTCCGGGGAACTTCTGCTACAGATCATTTTCGGTAAAGAGCTGGCACATCAGCTCAGAAAATAAACAATGTCGACATCGGCTTGGGCTGAAGTGCATTCGCTCTACTACTTCCTTGTCATTTTAAAGGAGGAGTTAATCATTGGTAGATAAGGTGGTACAACCCCCGTTCTAAACTGTAACTCCATTTTGGTGCATCTCAGCATTTCTGTGTATGGGCATGTTGGGCTAGCTCCTTTTTAAGTGGTGTGATGCCTGGGGCCAGGAGAAACTAGACTGGCGAAGTCGGAGGCATTGCTTCATCTGGGGGGAACCAATCCGCCTGCCCTTCTGTGTCTCTTGCCAACATACAGGTAAGTCAGCTAAGGCCCTGCAATTTAATCAGTGCTGCTCCAAGAAACAGCCAGAGGAAGTGAATAGTCTTGGATTTCCTGGCCCCCCCAAGCATGAAAAATTGGTAGAATCTATTATAACAAATATTCCAAAAAGCACAAATATTTGTTAATGAAGTCAAGCCAGATGTCGTTCCAAGGAGAGGTTGAGCTAGCAAAGCAAAGAGAAGCAAGAAGCATTAGGCTTTGGGATACAGGGCTGCAGGGGAAAGAAAGCTGAGAAAGACCAATGCAAAGGCTGCGCTTGGGAAAGAACAATCTAATGCACAAGTGTGAATGGGAGGCAGAGAGCTGGCTAGGTGTCGCGTTGCAGATGAGGGCCTGGGGTTTATAAGGGATTGCAAAGGTACGTGAAGAACTGGCAATGTAATACTGCAAAGAAGCTAGCAGAATACACCAGTACAGGAGTGTATGTATGCACCAGTGTATTCAGCAGTGGTGAGGCCTTGCCTGGAGTGGCGAGTCCAATTTCGGGCACCGCACTGCAAGAAAATGGACAAATTGGGAAGACTGCAGAGGAGAGCACAAAAATGGTGAGGTCTAGGGCACATGCCTTAAAAAGAAAGGTTGGAAGAACTATTCCTTCTGGAGAAAAAGCTTGCAGGGGGACTCAATAATAGTCTTCAAATACTAAAAAAAGTTAGAAGGAGGATGGAGCCCCTCATTTTCACAGGGAAAAGGACAATAAGTAATAGGTTTAAATTTGCAGCAAAAAGAATTTAAGGTGGCTATAAGGAAGACCTGTGCAGGTAGTGAAGCCCTGAAAAGGGATCACCTAGAGAGGTTGTAAAGTCTCACTGTTGCTGGAAGTGAAGTTAGAGAAATATTTATCTTGGTGATTAAAGCAAGGGATGAGCTTGTCCTGAATGGGGACTGCCTCCTGAGGTCCCTTCCAGTCCTATTTTCCTTTCCTTTATGAATGTGCCAGGGAAATGTGAGATTTGAGGCAGGTTTTGTTAGAGCCAGGAACTAAGTAATTCTACAGTATTTTTTTTCTTGGAGATTGCATTTTGAATGATAAGGGAAAACCACAACCCTAAAGATTGCAATGGCATGAGACAGAATTAAACGTGTAGGAGGTATCATTACTGGACTCAATTTTTTTCTTCCTCCCCTATCAAAAGGATCTGTTTTTACTTCACTTATGCTCTCAACCTTCCTCCCAGTTCTGGGACCACCAGCAGATGTAAATCAGTGTGGCCTTGCTGGACCTATACCAGTTCACACCAGCTTAGGAGCTGAATTCCCCTTTTCACTAATATTGCAGTAGTTAAGAGCTCCAGCCAGACTCCAGGACCCCATTCTGAAAGCTGCCCTGAAAACTTAAAAATGGGTTTCCCCTAAATGTAACAAATTTTATTTTCTTTCTTCCACCAGCTACTTTTGCAGCTATTTAGTCTGGAAGGACAATGTGGTAAGTCCTGCTAGGTCTTGAAGAAGAGAGCCCAGCCAAAGGAAAGATGGCATCATTGTGCCCTGGGGACCAGAACTGTTATGTGGCCACCCTTCGAATATTATGTGCTGCTGCTCTCGTTGTTGCTGTTCAGAGTAAGTCTGTGTGAGAACCAGGCAAATCCATCTGAGTCGACTCAAGACCTCAGCGGAACAAAACTGGTTCTTGAGGTTCATGCCACAAGAATGAAATGTCCCCTGTGAACATTTCCCATTTCTTTGCTGCCCCTGTGCTTCTGGGTCTTTGATAGTCCTAAGAATCCATATGGGAGCCTTTGTCATCCCAAGACGTAAGGGGTCCAGCTCTCCAGTGCTCCACACCCGCAGCCATTTGCAGCAGTGCACGCAGGGTGTGCCGTGCTTCCAGATCAAGAGTGCAGGCATTTGCATTCGCTCTTTGCTGGTGTAATGGCTGCATGAGGTGAAAGGCAAAGAGTTGATCAGAGCCCCTAGACTGGCTTTGGAAAACCAAGGAGCATGGATAAGCATTTATATGTTAAGTCAAGCATGTACCTAACGTCCAGTTTTGGTCTGAGGCTCAGGTTTTTGCCGGGCTACATGGGCGATCGCAGAGCTTGTGCAGGCACTTACGGGTACTTATCCACTGGGGGATCGCTGGTGACGAGAGAAGCGACTAAGTTTCCTTTCCCGTTGAAGAGGCTAAGTAGATGGGACAAACCTTTTCTTGACCTAACTTTAGCACTTTCCCTCTGAACACCTTGGGCCACTTCCTTCTGCACAGCTGGAACAAAGGGAAGTTGTATTATCTCCCTGGTAACCTGCTGCATCCCTGTCTGCAGAGCCAGCTGGACAGACGTACCGTTAGCTTTAGCTCTGCCTAGCCTCAGCCCAGCTGCCTTCTTACAGCATTTGGAGGCTGGCCAAGGCCTGGAAACCGTGGTCAGTAGTGACTGAGAGAAAATACCGATGCACTGCGGCTTCTCCAGGCAACCTGCACAGGAGACCACTGCTGCGTTCTGAACCTCCACCACAGGCTGTTCCACTAATATCTCCCTGGCTTGAAGGGAAACTTAGACTTATTTGATGTAGGCTTGGCTTTTTTGAGGGTTTTTTTTAAACTCAGTCTCTATCCGAAACCAGCGGATGAGGTAGTAGGGTTCAGTTAGGAAGCAGAGGTCGAGTGTTTTAAGACCTTCCTGACATCTGAGTCAAGGGAGTCTCGGCTCCTGTAGCTTTCTACCTTACCAGTTTTTCACTGTTCGTTGTTGCTGTTATCACTAGGTGCCTGTGGCCCACTACCACGTCTGAATTATGCTGTGCCAAAAGAGGACTACAGTAATAGGACTTCTTTTCATGTTGGGTTCAAAGTAGATTTCAACTGTCGCCCAGGTTATGCCAAACGTTCAGCATCTTCTCTTTATTGCCAACGCAATTCTGAGTGGGCAGTCCCTTTTTATCCCTTCTGTACTGGTGAGTATTTTATGTAATTTATTTCCTTTCTTTAAAAATCTAATTGATCCTCAGCACCTATTTTAATTAAGGAGGCTGAGGGAGACCACATGATGGGGCAAAAGCAAAAGCAGTGATGAAATATGGAGTTTCTCAGCAGTAAATTGTCAATTCCTACCTGAAACCAGGTCAAGATAGACTGAAATATTTTACTGGCTGCTCCCATCTTTTGCTTGGCATTCCCGGAGATGTTTAAAAATGAATTTCTTTGGGCTAAACGTGGATTTTGATGTATAACTAAAAAATACTTCTGCCAGAAGAAGGATCCTAAATGCCACATGTGCAATATTCCCAAATAAAAATGTCAATAGAATGGAAACTAATCTAAACCAATGCGTACAAAAATTTCAAGTTACCGAGAAGGATGTGTGTCCTGATCTGACAGACCCTGGAGAAAATGGATGGGGTTTAATGGAGACGGGAGTTTTGCTTCTCCCTGGTATTATGTTTTACCAAGTCATCAACATGCATAAATAAAGAGTAATTCCAATGTGTTTGTCTTCTAGCAAAACCATGCCCTCATCCTGCAGCACCAGACAATGGCCAAGCGGTTGTTCTTACGGATCTCCAGTTCGGTTCAACAATAAATTTCACCTGTGAAGACGGGTAAGTAACAAGCAGCTTGTATTGACTAATACATAGACTTTAAGGCCTAGAGTAGGGTCCATAATGGCAAGTGATCCTGGTTGTTGTTGATTTAAAAGAAAAAAAAATCCCCAATTTTTGGATTTAAAAAAGTAACCCAAAAAATCCACATTTCCCCATGATTAAAAGAAAACACCACTAATAGATAGATATAGATATAGTGGTGTTTCATTTTAATCATGGAAAAAGGTGGATTTTTTGGGTTACTTTTTTAAATCCAAAAATTGGGGATTTTTTTATCGCCTAAAACCAGGTTCCCTGACAATGACCATCAGGTCTGACCTCTTGAATAACACAGGCCAGAGAAGCTCAACCCATGATTTCTGCATGAAAACACTATGTTGCACTTCAGTTGCAGCATATTCTTTAGGAAAGCTTCTCATCTTGCTTAAAAGGCTCTAAGTGAGGGAGACTCCAGCATATCTGCAAGTAAATTATTCCAGCAGCTTGTGACACTTGCTGTGTAATTCAGACTAGAGGTAACAAACAGATATATTTGTGCAGCCTCCAGCCTGTGGGTCATACTTTTGCCTTTTTCTGGTCAATTAGAGCCATCTACTCTCACAACTCTTCTGCCAGTCTAGGAATTTAGAGATCAAGTCACCTTAATCTTTCCAAGCCTTCCTTAATCTTTTCCTCTCAGGTTGTTTTTTCTAAACCTCAAATCTTGCTCATAGCACCTGCAATATTTCAGTCTCTCTCTTTTGAAGCATATAGCTTGGGCATGGTACTTTAACTGTGGTCTCATTAACATCACCTTCCTTCCTTAGCTGACTGGTCCTACGCTTATACTTCCAACTATCACTGTAGTCCTCTTAGGTATGGCATCTCCAGGGGAGCCCATGATTATTTGCTTCTCTCCTTTTTCAGAGTCCCTGCATTTGAATGCATGCCTCCTTTCCTCATGCTGCAATCAGGACTGACTAGTCTTTTTTGCTCCTAGATGCATGGCCTTGTATGATATTCATATGAGCCTGCCTTGCCAAGCAATCCAGATAGCTCTTATTCAGCAGTCTGCGAATATATCACCTGGAAATTGTCAGCATTGATTTTATGTTTTCTGTCAAATCGTGAAAGTATTGAATTAATGGTAGGTCAAAAACAGATCCTGCAGGAATCCCACTGCAAGCACTCCCTAGGGATGTTGTTCCTAAATACAGTGACCTCCTAGAAATCCATCAGTTAGAGTTTTTGTTTTATAAATTGTAGCAAGAAGTCCTGCAGTAATGTTGTAAAGAGTTAGTTTCTGGAGTGCTAGTTTTTAATTGGGATGTGGTGAGGTACCAAATCCAATGCCTTATAGAAAGCTAAATGTACTATGCCTAATATACAGTATCTTTGTCTGCCAAGTTTCTAATCTCATCAGAAAACAGTATCATTTGATGATGATAGACAGTCTGAGTTTGCATAGTAAGATTCCCGTGCCTCCTTTCCCCTGTTCCGTTCAGGTACAGATTAATTGGAAGTTCACAGTCCAGGTGTGTGATTGTACAAGGCGGTGTTAATTGGGATCGAGATGTGCCAGTTTGTCAATGTAAGTAGAGACATTTAATAGTGTTCTGCTATCGGTCTAATTGGATTTGATCATGAAAAAGGCTTGTTCCTCTGCTAGGAATCAAATAGGAATCAAATTTAGCGCTTCCCTGCAGACTACACTTGTAGTTGTTTACTTTTAATTTCTGTACCATGCTACAGAGAAGTCTGTTACTTTACAGATATGTCTGGTAGGGAGAGAGAATCACCTAACAGTCATGCTCTAGGTTAATAGAATTTGGACACTTTATACCGAATCCTTTTTCTTCAGATACAAAGTGCCAACATGCGTATGGCACATTGCAATCTTCAGGTGCTTTCCACATCCTGTCCCTTTGCTTGTCATTCAAGTGCAGCTATCCCGGGGGTGGCATGTAGCAGGCCTCATTCACAAAAAAGAGCAGTAATTGCTGAAGACAGAAAATGAAGTGTATCGTAACCCACTGATACTGCAGGTGGAGTTCAGGGGATAGGGTTAACTACCGAAGTGGGACTTCCATCAGGTTAGTTGAGCTAACACCTTGCCATTAGAGCCTAAGGGCAGATCCCCAGTTGATATAGAGTGAAGTCAACAGGATGCATCTGTTGGCATAAATGATTGCAGCTCCCTTGAATTCAGTAGAGCTACACTCATTTTGCACAACCAAATGGGTTCTGGCCCATTGTATTTCAGCCTCTCTCTTCCTTGTGAGACATTGCATACAACATCAGTTAAATTCTCTGCCTCGCTCGCTTTCTGTCATTTCCGTGCCCCCTTTCTTTTTGTTAGTGATACCGTGTTTGCCTCCTCCGACAATAAACCACGGGACACACAACGCAATGAGTTCGGAGGAGTTCAGCTATGGGACATCAGTCACTTACAAGTGTGACAACGTAAGGCCAGGAGAGATTCCTTTCTCGCTTGTTGGAGAAGCCTCCATTTACTGTACATCCCAGGATAATCATAATGGAGTCTGGAGTGGGCCTCCCCCTGAATGCAAAGGTGACCCTGTACTGTTCCCATAAATTGGGGTGATGTCGGCACTGTGTATACATGCATGGTAACCGGTGCACTGTAACAGCAGAAGCAAGTTACCAGCTTAAACTGAGGAGGAGAACATACTGAGTGAGAAGGTGTCGGTATAGAGAAGAAAGGAGAAAGCAAGGCTTGGAGGGGGGAGGAGAGAAGTGGGGTAGAAAGCAGTTATTCTTCATTTGGTTTCCTCTTGAGCAAATTATCACTCAAACTGCAGCTGCTGAATTAGTGACCATCAGCAATGCAAGGCAACCTGAATAGCAGTTCTGCAGCAGAAGGCTCTAGGGCTACGGAGGGAAAGGGAGAGACATCACAATAACCTGATGGTCCGTGGGAGCTGTTGGAACTGCCCTGGCATCATCTTATTTGTTCACATAACGTGGGAATAATGAAAGGCTGTGCTGGTAACTGCTGTAAGCACTTGGGTTTGGACTTCCAAGCAGAACACATGTGAATGTTCTCCTGGCTGAATTGCAAAAGCCATATGCCGAGCTGGGCAAAAAAAATCGTTGCGCCTAATTTGGAAGCTTGGTGTTCTACCACACTGGCATCCTCTTGATGCTGTTTTGCCATACCTTACTGAAATGTTAGAAATATGTAAATAGATAAATGCAAGTTGAGGGGAGGGTGGAGGAGTGGTTAGAAAATGTTATCTCGCTCTGTCCATGTGCTTATTCAGGGATTCCTGGTAAACCCTGTATTGTTTCCCAAACTCATACTTTTCTTCCCCAGCAATTCACTGTAAAACTCCGAACCTTGACAATGGAAGAGTAATGAACAGATACACCACTCTCCATACCTTGAAAAACATCCTTTTGATTGAGTGTAATAAACATCATACTCTCTATGGCAGCAGCACCATTCAGTGCAATGAGAATAGTACCTGGAGCCCTCCAGTACCAGTTTGCCAACGAAGTAAGTATCATGTCCTGGCTACCGCATCTTCTAACGCACCCTGTAAGCACTGTTTGGGTGAGACTCTGGTGAGGTAAGAGGGAGTGGGGCTTGAATAGACCCTGCAGGCTCGAGCTCCTTAGCTTTCATCACCAGCCTGCCTAACACATGAGCACTCCTTTCCATGCTGCACTTTGCTGTGCTCCTAGAAACGATTCCTGGCTGCTCTGGGGAGGAAAATGATTCTAGGAAGCCAACACTTCAAGCAGGATAGGCTTATACCTGGTCCCACTGCAACCAGCAAGTCTTAGCACTCACTTCAAAGGGACTAAGAATGTGCCCTATAGAGATGATGAGGAGTTGATGATGATGATGAGAAATCCGTGCAGTGATGCCACATCCTCAGGTGGGGTAAATGCCAGCAGTGTAGCTATGCTGTTCCACAAGTGAGAAGCTGGCCTGTGATGATGGGGTCATGGTGGCCATGCAGTGAAGTCAAATGGCTTCAGTAAAAAGCAGGAGTTGGGCCTGCAGAAGCAAAGGTTGAAATCCTGGTTCCAGTGAATTCACTGGAAGCTTTGGGATGACTTCACTGGGGTCGGGGTAAGAAAGGATCTGAATCTTTTTTTATATTCCTGCCTTCCTTGCAATATCACCAACCCTTCGCCTAGTGCCGGACTGGGGTCGTTGTGTCTGGAACAGGGCAGCTGAGGATGTAATTGCTAGTTGGTGTAAGTAATATTGAGCTGCTAGTCAGAAATCTCAGGACAGGATCTGGGTGCAGGACTTGCGTGTCCTCACTGAAGGCAAATGCACAGGGTGGGATCGGTATAAGAGCGCCCGGGGCTTTTGGAGGCGGCCGTGCATTGAACTGACTACCCCTTGCACCGTGCAGATGGCGGTCACGTTTCTGATGTTACTAACACAGTCCCGTGACGCCGCAGCTCAAAGGCTTTTGCACTGAACGCAGGGATTCTAGCTGAGGCCGTTGTGTGGTCTGAAATTACTCACATGTCCTTCCGGCCTTCAACTCCAGGCGACTGCCTCCTGGGCAGGCAGATTGCAGCAAGTGGGGATATAGTTATGACCTTTGCTACTCAGCCTCGTTGCAATGACTGCGCTAAATTCTGCTCCAGGGTCATATATGTTTCCCGTGTGCCGGTGTTGTAGAGGATTCTCCAGCTGCAGCCATCGCTCCTCATTCATTTTGTTCTTAAACTGTTTTTCCCCCCAGGCAGTTGCGATGACCCCCCTATGACTGATAGGATTATGCAACATTCCTTTTCTTTCTCGAGCGAAGAGCCGAGCACCGAGTTTCCACTTGGCTCTGTGTTTACCTACACCTGTTGGCCAGGCTATGAGTTCAGGCCTGGAGAGAACAAGCTCACTATTACCTGTCAAAGAAACTTTCAGTGGTCTGAGTATCCGAGTCCGTGTCAGAGTGAGTATATGAATCTGCCATTTCCTAAGCCTACTTAGGGCGCAGTGTTATTAGCAGTGAAGGGGGCTGGGTTCGTACTCAAAAGCAGAGTGGCTGAAAGTGTGAGGGTGGGTGGCTGAGAGAAAGGAAGAAAGAGTCGCTCCAAGTCTGCCTGCTCTGTCGTAGCATAGAAATACCCACTTGTAGGGTGTGGTGTCGGGTGGATGTATCAGGTCTTGCTGTATCGTACAGCCGAGATCCAGGGCCCTTCTGAAGTCCTGAATGCACTGGCAACAAGCCCTTAGGACCATCCATCATTGGAGACTAACAACCAGTTCAGAACAGGCAGGGCACTAAAGGTAGCTTCAAACCCCCGTAGAATCTGCGGTTGCTGGATCACAAACTCTGTGCGCGCCTTCAGGGATCTCCCCCAGGAAGTTTACATGCTCGTGGCCTGGTGGGTTGCCCCCAACCTCCCTCTCCCTATTCCACTGCAGCAGATAATAGCCGAGGTAGGAGGTGCACAGGCAGCACAGTGCTCGCAAAAGGTGCCTGCGCGGTCTTTCTGTGTTGAGGACCAAATGCCCCCGGCCGGCTGGAACTGGACCAGGTGCCTGCTGCAGAAGGGACACTGAACACCCCTGACCCACGTGACAGGCTTGCCCCACTCGTGGCAGGCAGAAACCGTTTGCCTTGAAATGAACCTCCTCAGGCCTGCAGGGAAATGCCAGCTTCCTGGGAGGGTGAGGCTGCTGCCCCCTAGCCGCCTGTGCTCTGATTTCTCACTCTTGCTTCCCAGGAGTTTCGTGTCCAACCCCTCACATTGACCACGGAACGGTGGTGCACGGCCCTCGGCTACGGGAACTCTATGTAACAAGAGATGAGGGGAGGAAATACCTGTATGAGGATATCACTAGGATCCAGTGCAATCCTCGGTATGTCCTCCACGGTGACGATTTGATTCGCTGCAACCAAAGTGGCAACTGGAGTCCTGCAATACCCCAGTGTGTCCCAGGTGGGTATAGAAGGGAAAGTTCTGGTATTTGGAGACCTCCTGTTCCACAGGTGTAAAGGAGTTGCTATCTGTGTGTGTCCTGTGTCTGTCCGTGTGTGTGTGTGTGTGTGTGTCCTTAGTGTTGAACTGGCCCAGACTCCTGCATTCTCACTCCTATCCCCTGCCCAGGTCAGAAACATATGAGCGTGACCACAACAGCGGTGTACAATCCACTCGGTGGATATAGCTTCATAGTTTAAGGGTCGGAAGGGACCTCAACAGATCGAGTCCGACCCCCTGCCAGTGGCAGGCAAGAGCACTGGGGCCATATGATCCTAGACAGGTGCTTGTCCAGTCTCTTACTAAAGCACCACCTCCCTTGGGAGCCTGTTCCAGATCCTGGTAACCCTTACTGCGAAGAAGTTCTTCCCGAAGTCCAACCTAAATCTGCTCTTTGTCCGTTTGTGGTCACTGTTGCTGGTTATTCGAAGGGGTGCCCTGTAGGCCTGTGCGAGTAGGCAGCTATTCAATCCGGCTTCGGATCTAGCCACTTTGGCTGCCAGGGATCTGATCCGGAGCTCCTAACCGGCTTCCCACTTCGATCCGGTGAAAGCGGCTCCGAAGCTTCAGCGCTGCCTGGGAGATCTGTCCGTAGGGTATAATGGGGAATCAATGAAATATCTCTAACTTGGTTGGTTTTTGTCTCTTTTGGATGAAGCTTGCAGGGGTGGTAGCCTCTGCTGAGAGCATGAAGTCTGTCTTAGTTCAAGAAGATCAGTGCAGGGGTTTGAGGGAAACTTCAACCCAAACTCGTGAAAGCAAAACTCATGTCGCGCGTATGTGTTAAGCCACAGTGGGGTCAAGACTGCAGGGATGGTGGCCCCTGGTGAGGCCACAAAGCCTGCCCAGTTTCAAGGTGATAAGTGCAGGGGTTTCAGGGGCACTGCACCTCAAGCTGCTGACAGGCAAGACCCGTGTCACAGAGGACCCTGTGTGTGTTAAGGCGCAGCGGGCTGAAAACTGCAGGGGTGGTGGCCCCTGCTCACGCCACGAAGTCCGCCAGCTTCTGTCCAAGGGCTGGGCTCCTCCTGGCTAGCAGATGGTGCCTGTACTGCTAAAAAGTTATTAGTTTAAACTCTTGACTTGAAAACACTTTGTTTTCTTATCATTCTCAGTGCCTGTGTGTCCATCCCCATGTATTGAACACGGGACACTGTTATCTAGCCCTGAAACGGAGCATACGCCTGGAAGCACTGTTGAGGTTCGGTGCAATGCTGGTTATGTCCTCAATGGCCCCAAGTCGATTGAGTGCCAGCCCGACGAGACATGGAAATCTCCGGTACCCTTTTGTGATAAAGGTGAATATAAATGTGACTCGTTCCCCCACCCCCCCAGAACTTGGGAAGAGCAGCAAGAAGCCAAATCTGCGTCTAGCACTCGTATGAGGAGGTGTTGTTCCAAAGGAACTGCTCCACGTTGAACTGCTGGACAAGTGGTGGGTATTATCACCTGTGCCTTGTCCCGCTGATGATGAAGCGTGGCAGCTGATGGAGCTCCCAACCGTCTTCCACGCACCGCAGATCCCGTTCGATGAGCTTTCCTCCTCATTATCAGACTAATATTTCCCGTTCTTTATTTCCTCCTCTTAGTTCTGGCTCTACCCTGTTGTAGCGTTCTCTGTAACTCCCCCAGTTTCATCAGGCCGGGGTGGAGGGATAGGCCTATGCACCAAGGAGTTGTCCAGAGGTTTGGTGGCAGGTCAGGGGGTTTGACCCTGGAGGTTTGGGCGCTGGCGCAGATTGTGGGAGCAGTCAGCCGCTCCGATGGGCAGACTTGGTCTTGCCAGTAGCTGAGTGTCATCCTGAAGAGAATCTGCCCGCCGTATAAGCGCCAAGAGCTGGATACTCCTGTGACTGCCCTAGTTTCCCTGGAGCCTGTGCTGACTTCTGGTCACACCAGTATGGAGCCTCTGCAACCTGCCACCTTTACTGTCTTCTCCATTTCCAGCCTGTGGGCCCCCTCCAGATATTAAGCGAGGGCAGCATTCTGACGGCACCAAGGAAGATTTCTTCTATGGCTCGGAGGTTAAGTACAGCTGTGCCGAGGGCTTGTCGCTGATTGGAGAGTCTTCCATCTACTGTACCTTGGGCAATGACTTAAATATGATCTGGAGCGGGCCTGCCCCGCGGTGTGAAAGTGAGTTTTCCTGTGTTGCTCTTGGGACTGGTGTTTTAGCAAACGGGTCTGAAAATGAGCAGAGCCCTCTGCCCGTCTCGGCAGCTCCCCCTGTGTCGTGGGCTGTGCAAGGGGAGATGGCTCTCTCAGTCTCGTGGGTTGGGCGGAGGTATTGCTGGGGACAGCCCCCATCTTCATAGCAAGTGTTTCAGCATTGGCAGGACTTCCCTGCAGTGCAGGGGATGGATGGTGTCCTTGAATGGCTGGACAGCCGTAAGCAAGGAACTTGCTGGACTCATATATACTGATCTCACGTGCAGCTAGAGAGCACCTAAGGAAGTGCCCCACCTAAAGTGTCCATTGAAAGCAGTGGTTCTCAACCTTTTTAGACACGGGACATCCCCAGCTTGACTCCAGGCCCGCCTTGGAAAATACCAGCTCTTCGTTTTCACTCTTTCTTTGCTTATAGAAAGATAACAGAGCAGTCTTTCTGTTGCAAAGAGCTGAAAATGCCCACAGCTGTGGGCTTGTGTTTGAAATCTCTGGGGTTATCTGGTGGATCATGCTTGTGAACCTAATGGTGATAGCATTGCTTGGCACCCCACAGCAGCCTTGAAAGGATCTGAGGGCACCCCAGGGTACTGTAGCACCTTGGCTGAGAGTCGCTGGTCTAAAGTGTCCAGTGTCCCCTCCTGGGAATGTCTCTTTCCCACACACAGAAATGTTCACAACCGTGTCAGTTCTCTCTTCCTCCGGGCTACCTGCCTTGGAGCCCAAGGCCTAGCTGGTGCTAGAGTCTCATTCCCACCTGTTGCTTCCCTTGCCCAGCTGATGCATCTCTCAAGGTCTGGTTTCCAAAACAGTTGCCCTAATATCATCCCTTTAGGCGTGCAGTCCCCTTTGCAGACCATATTGAGAGAGTTTATGGGAACTCTCAGAGCCTGTGACCTGACCTCTCAAGAGGAGCGCAGGCTGGAGGTAATAGTGTTGAATCGTGCTCACCCACAAACCCACCGGCCTTACAATTGTAATTCGGCCCTGCTCGTCTTCCCAACGTCTTCCCAGCTCTGGTACAGGATGACACAGTCTTCTGTAACTGTCCAAGGAATTGAACTCTTTCAAAAGCCTACAAGAATTCAGCTAACATGAAAAATAAATTGGCAGCCCGAATGGTCTCGGTGTCTATTGTTCCCTGTTTTAGTCGTGAGCCTCATGTCTTGCTTGTGTATCCTCAGTGGTTCGCTGCCCCAGACCAGTGATTGAAAATGGACGAATGACTACCAGCAGGCATGTTTTCCTATATGGCACCACCGTGCAGTTTTCTTGCAGCGAAGGCTACATGATGGATGGGAGCAGAGAGAGCCAGTGCCAGGAGGGCAGCATATGGAATCCACCTCTGCCGTCTTGTCGTCCGGGTAAGTCTCAGTGATCACCGACTGCTCCGTCACGTGTGCAGACCCTGAAGAACGGTGCCTGCAAGGGACAGATCAGGGACATGGAGATGGGAAGAGAGAGGGGCCTCTGAGCACAACCCTGAGAGCTAAGGACCCTCCCTTGCCTGTGTCCTGGACACCATGTCACTTGGAGTTAGTTCATCAGCTAAATGGAGGCAGTAAATGACACGCCTCAAAGAGGTGTCAGGAGGTTAATGAGCAAAGTGCTAATTATCGCTAAGCCTGCATTCCCAAAGCTGCCCCAGCTGCATGCTGCCAAAGAAAAGCACCTGCGAAGATGAAAAAGCAGGCATGATTGATCACGCATCACCGCATGATCTGTCCACATCATCATCCCCCTTTTACAGGGGAGGAAACTAGAGCGTGTAGAGCTGAATGGCTTGTTGAGGCTCTGCAGCGGTTTAGGCAGTGGCAGACTCGGGTGCTTTCACCACTCAGCCATTCAGTCTCCCAACTGCTAAACCCTCGTGTAAGAAGGGAAAAAAGCACGCAGTCCCAGTGTCCGAGGCGAGTGCTCTGCCTTACGGAAAGCTAGTGTTACTGACTGATATGCTTTCCTGTTTGTGGAAAGAGCCTATTTTTGACCCTGAGATTCCCATGCTTAAATCTGCAAAGCTGTGCATATTTGCTCTGTAACTGAGTCAATACCAGCAAATGGAGTCCTAAAAAATGAGGGTGGGAAGGGACCTCAGGAGGTTGTATCTAGTCCAACCCCCTGCTCAAAGGAGGACCAGCCCCAACTACATCGTCCCAGCCAAGGCTTTGCCTAGCTGGGTCTTAAAAACTTCCTCCGCCTCTGTGGGTAACCTGTTCCCGTGCTTTACTCTCCTCCCCTGGAGAAAATTCTTCCAAATATCCAACCTAAACTTCCCTTGCTGCAGCTTGAGATCATTGCTCCTCGCTCTGTTCTCTGCCACCTCGGAGAATAGCGAGGGCTCCTCAGGCTCTTGCCGTCTGGCATTGGTGTCTAACAGAGGTGTTGAAAGAGAAGCGGGCATTGCAGTACAGAAAGGGGCTTGGTGAGCTCTGCCCGGGAAGCGCAGGCATCCACAGCAGGGGACGGGGTCGCATTCTGCCCCTCGCTGAACTCCTTTCCCATCTCTGCCTATTTCCAAGCTAAGTCAAAGCTGCTGTAGGAAATACCACTGTTTCAGGCATCCTGCCTTTGCATCTTCTCGTCCTCTCACTGATGTGCCACCTGTCGCACGTTTTCCTTTCAGTTCAGTGTCCAAAGCCAGACCTGCGACATGGAACAGTGACGGGCAAGCAGGTTGAAAAACCGTGGTACAGCATGAATGAAACCATTACTTTCAGCTGCCCTGAGCAACACCGATTCTTAGCCTGCTGGCATCTGTTTACGACTGACACGTGGACGATCACTTGTTCTGCTGACGGCAGGTGCTGACACGTGGACGATCACTTGTTCTGCTGAAGACAGGGGGACAGAGATCCCCAAATGTGTAAGTGCCCTAGTGTGGTTGGGTTTTTCCCCTGGTTCTGGTCTGGCAATCCCCAGCTTCAGGGCTTCTGATGGGCGTTCACTGACGGTCAGGAAAGTGGTCTTCCTCTTGTGAATGCTTTACTGGTTTCTGAAGGGCTTTTCAGCAGTGGACATTGGGCACAGCTAAGGCTGAAGGTTTTGATTGGGGTGTGACTGTGTTTCTGCTGGGTCTGAGAAGCCTCGCAAGTTCCTGCCTGGAGGGTCTCGCTCTTCTGCTCAGCATCGGACCAATTGCCCAGTCTGGGGTCGTGGGGGGATGTTTCTCTCTGGCCAGACTGGCACAGCCCGTGGAGGTTGTTGCCCTTCTCTGGAGCGTGGCGCACGGTCCTTCTCCTAGGATCCTCAGAACTTAATTAAGCAATTGTTTCCCTGTCGCTGCAGTGAACGGGGCAAGGGCAGTGCCTTTGTTCCCACCGCTGTTACCTGTGGCATCTTGTCATATCGTCCTGGCGTTGTGCACTGTCATTGCATGTGAGGGTTTAAAATGGATGCTTTCAGTTAATGGTTGCCTGCTAATGCAGGCTGGCCTCCATGTCTCCTGAGCCCCCTTCCCGTCCAGTTGTCCTGTGTTTCTAATTGCTGTTACTGCTTACCTGCTCACTTCATTCAAAGATGAGCCTGGAGGGAGCAGTGCAGGATATAATGGAAAGGAGGCAGACAGTGTTTTCTTCCTATGTAATACCAGCTCCACTAAATATATAAAAGGTGTAACATGTGGTGGATAAAATTAGCAGCCAGGCAGGAGAGCTTGTGTGTTCATGTAGTCTGTTCCCCCGGCGCACTGGATGTAGCCAATATTATGGCCATTTAGTAAGCAACTTCCAGTGTATTCAATGCAGCATAAATGTGTGGGAAGACGGTGACTGCTGTGTAAGGAGCTCAGTCCAAGTGTTTGATCCTGAAGGTTGCTCAGGACCTCTCCCAAAGGTGCTTAGTACTGTCAGCTTGCAGTTCGCTGTAGGAACTGAGAGCGCACAGCACGTGCCAGAATGAGGCCCTGTCGCACACAGCCAGTGAGACACGGGCGCACGTTCAGTGCAGGGTCGTGGCTGGGACAAAGGAAGGAAGTGTACTTGAGGAGAAGCCCGTGCATCCTGCAGCAGCATCACGTGTCCTCGGTTTCTTTTTTCTTCCAAAAAGGTGAAAGAGGATGAGGTGTATAAGATGGCGTATGACGTTAAGGAGTTTCGGCAGTGTGATAGTTCTCTGTTACAAGTGAGGATCCTGCAGGAAATGCAAAACCTGAAGCTGGAAGTCAAGAGCCTGAAGGAGGAAATCAAACTTTTACAATGAGCAGCACAGACCTGTGACCCGCATCAAACCAATCACAGCTTCTTTGGATCCAGTTCATGAGATCTGGGTGTGCAAAGCAGAACTCTTTCCTGATTTCACAGCCTGTGCTAATACTCCTGGTAGGCCTGAGTGCAGTGCCTGCTGCATCCAGGATTAGGTTTTCTCATGCCAGTTGTTAAGGATTCTCTCGCTCCTTCCCTCCTCTCACACGTCTGAGCCTCCCAACCATACGATAGGTATTTTAGGTCATGCTCCATCTTTTAGGGGGAGGGGCAGGTGGTTAATCGAGATTTGACTGAATTGCATGAAAGTAAACGTTTAAGTGAGACACGGTTCTGATCCTTTGCAAGTGGAAACTCACACTACCAACCTTCCCTCTTGCAGACATCACACAACCAACCACTGCTCGTATTTAATCGCAGTGAATTTGAACCGATACAATCAGTGCATTTTAAGAGTTGCAAAGATGTCGCTGTGTTTTACTTGGAAAGTGCGAGGGGTTGCAAAACCCAGTCTGTCTCCTAGAGTCTGGCTTTCAAAATCTCTGCAGGTTTCCTGCCTGCTTTTTATGGAGCTACATTTGATTGGCACCTGCTTGGACGTCTCTCAACACCATGCGCACAATAAAAGTACGAGGTGAAACTTTGCCTGCAGAGGAAGGATGAGATGAGCTATTGTCTCACTGCCCGAGAAATGAGATGGCTTTTTTCTTGCCTGCACCTTTGTGATTAAGTTGCTTTTTGGTCACTCTTGCATTCCAATAAAATGCCATTGCATTAACACCTGCTCGTCATGGGTTTGTAACTCTTGTTCCATTTGCTGTGAAGTGGAGAGATGCCATTGTGTTTTAAGCAATGGTTCTCTTGATTAGGAAGAAAGCACTAATAGCTTCAAAAGCCTGGCAGAAGTTTCAGCGATGCCTCTAAGGGCTGACTGAGCCGTAGAGACTGGCCTGGCTTCTCCCACCTAAAGCTGATCAGGGCTGAAGTGATGGGTAAGGCAGCGTATTTGTGAGGTATCTACCCTTTCACCGCAGGTACCAATTTGATCTATGGAGAGACAGGGGGAACGCTGGATTGCAGCACCTCCCATCTTTTGCCACTCTTTTGTGAGCCAGGGATCACGCAGTGGTTACACCTTTAGTGTCATGAGAGTAGGCGAGGTGATTCACTGCAGGGGTGTTTGGTCTATCAAATAAGGAGGAAGGAGCCTTTAACAGCCTCCTGTGTGTGAGAACTCCTGGTGTCTTGAAGACGTTGTTCTGGCAGGGGTAGAGCAGGAGGAGAGCTGCTTTATCCCAGTGGTGCTATCTGTGTGTGCCCACGTGCTGGCCATGCTGCATTCCCATCCCGGGAGATGCCTTGGCTGTGCACACCTGGCACGGCCAATGCCTTGCTCTGCAAACAGCACCCCTGCCAGCAGCAGCATGTGCATCCCACAGTGGCTCTGCCCTCCTTCATGCTCTGCTGATGCAGTTAGGGCACCTGCAGCCCTTCTGTTACTGCCCCAACCACAGGGATGTCCAGTGCCTCCCCCTGCACCTTATGTGCAGTGCACCAGTGCCTCCCCCACAGCAATGCAAAGGGAGCTGGGCAGCACACAGGCCCCGCCTTGCCTGTCCAGTCCCAGGGCTGCAGCACGTGTTGCTGCTTCCCCTTTCTGTATGTGCCCACCCCCAGTGAGGGAGAGGCAGGCTCCCTGTACGTGGCGCTGTGCTCAGTGTGAGGGGTGGCTAGTGCCCTGCCAGGCAGCACCCTCACTGTCAGTCCTGCTCTCCAGCCTTGGCTCTCACCCAGCACCATGGAGGCATCTCTTTGCAGGTCCTGGCAGCTCCTGGGGACATGCGTGTTTGTGCTGCTGCCAATGGGGGCTCTTGGTGAGTTGGGGGTGAACCTCGCTCTTTTATTTTTTCTCCACCTTCCTCTCCTGTCGCCCTCCCCACTTGTGTGGCTCTTCACCCATCTCCTGGGCGGGCGCTGGAGTTCCTGTCCAGATCCTGTTTTCTTGCCTAAATGTCTCCTGCAGTTCCCAGTGTTCATGGGAATTTTGGTCATTTAGACCCTGAGTCCACCAAGGTCTCGTGCATGTTTGTAATTGCTTTGGCCTCCACGGGTCCCTGACAGGTTTGTCGCAAGTATGTGCTTATCCTGAATGACGGGCAATTTGTCTACCCACTGGCTTAGTCCGAACAGCAGCTTAACCGTATTATAAAGATGCACCAAAATGAATGCGTCAACCAAACAGAGGCGCTTCCCAGAGAGTCTTTTTTGGCCTCTTTCCCCATGCGCATCCTCCTCCCACAAGGAGAGAACTCATGTTGGGGCTGCATTGTCTTTTGCTGTTTGGTAGCGAGCAGTGTGAGAGATTAGTCATGGGTTTGGGGTTTTTTTAGTCAATGATGTTGCTACTTTATATAGGGCTCTGTGCAGAGGAACTAGGAGACTTGCCTGCCACAGGGACTGCAGCTGACTAGCTGAGGGTAGGGGTGGGAGACGGGAATTAGTCAAAATTGTGGTCTGCAGTGGGGAAGCTGAGATCCTTCTGAAGAGCTCTGCAAGGAGATGCCTGGACCCTGGGAGACGAGATCATATATGGGTCCCCGGAAACACATTGTGGAAGACGAGGTTCCTGTTCTTGTTGCTACATGGGTTTGGTGATGCCCGATTCCTTCCCACTCCAACAGCTGGGATCTGGGCATGTTTTTCTCCTGCCCAATTAAAGCAGGATTTGGGCATGTTTTTCTCCTGCCCAATTAAAGCGCTGCCCTACATTTCTCTGATTTTGTGCATGTGCTTGTCTGTGATGTTGATCCGTGACCTCTTTTTGAATGTGCTTAGTTCTTCAAATGAATGGAATTGAATCAGTCACGCACTATACCATCATCTGCCTACTTTAAGGAGATACTAAGGTACCAAGTGAGCAAACAAACCCTTATTTGTTCCATCTGATTTAATTATTAAAAATCAAAACAACACTTTCAGGTGTCCTGGCAGCTGATCTTCAGAAATCTTGATTTTTTTTTTAGTGTATTCCTTCGTTTTATGATTGCAAGTAGAATTCATTCTGGACCTGCATACAGGGAGGACCACTATTGCTGACTGTCTAGAAACAATAACTTGAATTTTGTGATGTTAGTACTTTGCCTTTTTAAACCAACGCCAACCAAGATACCGTCTATCTTCCAGATATCCTTCATGTTAGTACCTTTTGTATAACTAGATTAAAGGCGCTACATGTAGTTACAACAGCCGAGAAGCTGATCCAGGATTGAAGCCACCGTGGTTTCGCATTGAAACCCATTTTACCATTGACTTAAGGAGAAGGTAGGGGCTAGAACTACAAAGATGAAAAGGCAAAATCCTGTCTGCAGTGCTTTCAGCAGGAGTTTTGTCACCTGTTTCAACAGCCCTGTGATTTTTCTACAGCTATGTTTCTTGCACGTGCTCACAGAGGAGGTATAGTCCTCTGAGTCCTCATGCTGTTTTTTCTTCTTTTTAAATTTTTTTTGAACTCTTAGAGAGCTGTAAGGACCCACCTAACATTCCTCATGCTTTCCAAAAGAATTATGTTGGCCAACTGATTCCACCTGGGACCGTGGTGATGTATGGCTGCCACAGGGGTTACGAGTTCATCACTGGAATCACCCAGGGGCGTGTTACTTGTCTGCAAAATTTTACGTGGTCTGAAGTACCAAACTTTTGTCAGAGTAAGTATGTCAGTCTTTTCCCTAATAATCTTTGTTATAAGTGAGCACAATTATTGGCTATTATGAGGCTATACATCTAATCAGCAGCTGGATGCTGGTCAGCTAAGAAAGGAGGATTGGGCAGTCACTGCTTTTTTTCTAGCTACTTTAATTGAACATGAAAAATCAGGACTGTAGTTCTCCATTGGGGGTGATATTTGTTACTCCCATCCTTTCCTCCTGGGTACAGCATGGTACTCGCAGAGTGGGTGGTGCACAATCGTTCTGACCGGTGATGACCAAATGTCCCCAGCCAGCAGCATTGGACCGCGTGCCTGCTACAGAAGAGGCACTGAGAGTTCGTGACCCACAGGACAGGCCTGCCCCATTCGTGGCAGGAAAAAAAATTGACTTAAAAAATGAACCTCCTCAGACCTTCTGGGGAAATGCCGCCACCCTGAGAGCATGAGCCTGCTGCCCCCAGCACTCCAGCTCTTATTCCTCTCTCTTGTTCTTGGCGCTGCTTCCCAGGAGTTCAATGTCCACCTCCACAAATTGCAAATGGAACGTATGCACCACTGCCGAAAGCTGGAGAAGAGAAATACGCATATGAAGATGCTGTTACCATTGAATGCGATGCCGGGTATGGCGTCAATGGCTCTACTCAGATTCGCTGCAGACACGATGGCTCTTGGGATCCCAGAGTACCTGACTGTGTTCCAGGTGCGTATAAAAGGGGAAGCTGTGTCACTGGGAGATCTCCTCTTTCAGGAGCAGACAGACAGCTTCCCACACTATAACTCTTGCACTGTGCTCAGATCTTTCCAAACACAGAGAAAGAATAGAGTCTCTGCTTTAAAATCCTGAGAAGCCTTGGGTGATTTCAGATCACCAAAGTCAAACACTAGGAAACAATTCTTCACCTCCACAGAGCAGGTGAGTACAGAGATCTTTTCATCCTTTTCTCCCCAATGCAGCAGAGGCCCTGCAGAGATGAACCCTGAGGGCTGCCAGACTTGCACAGATCTAGTGCACAGGGGCACACGCTCTGGGAGGACCACAGGCTTTGCAAATGTGCCATCAGGAACCCCCGAGTTCCCTAAACAGCCTTGTTCCCTTTTCGGAGCATGCTTAGCATCTGTAAATGTGGTATTTTTCTCTGTCATGTTCCAGGTTGTGGGTCACCCCCACGTGTTGAAAACGGGCAGCACAGCCACCCGGGCAGGGGATATTTCTCTACTGGATCCTCGGTGACATACAGATGTCTCAAAGGTTACAAGCTTGAGGGAGAGGCCTCCATTCACTGCGAGACTGGTGATGATGAAGCTGCTGCATGGAGCGGCCCTGTCCCGCAGTGTGCAGGTGATTCATTCTGCCTTGCTCTACAACCCCCTGTGTCACAGAAAGGTGGAAGAGACTGGTGAATGGTCAGCTGCAATAAAACCTCCTAGGGCATCCACATTCTGCTGTGCCACTTGTGATCCTAATGAGCCCTAAACCATTCCAACAACCTTCCCCCTGAGATGCATGCTCATCTCTCCTCTGGTGCCTGCCTATGAGACCCACATCCCAGCTGATGCTGGAGCTTTTTGTCCCATAGATTTCCTTCCAACCTGCACTTGACCTACCTGTTGGTTCCTGGTCCCCAGTCTACCCATCCTGACAGTATCCCTTGCAGCATGCAGTATCGATGCGTTTGTGGGAGCAGTCTGAGCCCAAAAAGCGGGAGAGACCCTCTTGTCCTGACTGAGCAGGGACACGAAGGAACAAAGGCTGTCTGGTCCATGGCATTTAAGACTGCCAGGATAGTTGTATGTGGACTGCTCCTATGCCCTTCTGTGT